GAAAACAGAGACCAACAGGAAGTGAAAAAAAATTACATTTTTTTCTTGTGGAAATTTGATTCCACTCTTTTGAAACTCTTTAGTTATACACAATACTAACATTATTTGCTATTCACTTTTCTATGGGTCATACACAAAGAAGTGATACCTGAGTTAAGAGTAATGGGATAAGAAGAATTAACTGCAAAAACGGTAGAGGAGCTTTGGGCTCAGGGAGCTGTTCCAACAGAGACACCTGAAGTGCAATGGTGCTGCTCGTGGGCCTTGAGGATATTAGTGTGCATCTGGGGCCATGCTGGGTGGGAGCAGCTGTGGGGAGGACAAAGAGCTAAAAACAATCCGTTATTATTGCTGGCTGAAATGCACTGTGGATATCCTTGAGGAACAGTGTTGTGGATGTAGGTCAATGTCATAAAAACTTAAATCCCATATAATTGGAAATTGGACCCAAGGGAGAAATCTTAGAATCAGGAAGGCATGGTCAATGTATTATTGAGTTTATTAATTCTTCATGATAGTAATAATTTCTATAATTTAAAAACTTTAAATTACTATCAAAATAAAGCATATTTTTAAATGTAGTTTCCACATTATTCAATAAACTGACTGTAACAAATGTCAAAAGTTTCACCCAAATAAGTCCAAAATATCTAGATTTCATTCTTTGTTTAAAGCCTCTCCACATAGTAATAAATGAAAATGGCCACAAAGAGACAAAAAGTGAAGGCTTTCAAAAAAATCATTTTCTTAAATTGAAGGATGCAGCAATAAAATTTCTACATTTATACAGGAGAAACTGTCACTTTCATAGATCTAAATACTTTATAGACTTTTGAACTGTGTACAAGTTTGGTACAGTTCAAATAGTTTTTCACTCTATGAAATAAAGAAAAATGTACTACTGACAAAACTAAAACAAGCACTATCTTTGCTTCTTATAAAAGCTTTTAGATAAAATAGTACATACTAACTTTTCATAAATAATATATGTTCACTACCAATTGAGACCTAAAGCTCTAACCAGTGTTTCTGAAAAATCTTTCCTTGTGAGGCTGATCAACCGCTAGAAAAATATGCTGAGGGTTTCATATTCCCTTACCTAGATTACGCTGTATTACACATGATTATAGATGGTTAGTATTAAATTTTGCTTATATCTATTTACATGTTAGTACCATATTAATTAGAGATATCCTAAGAATAGTAAGAAGTTTTTACATATTCTAGAAATGTTTAATCTAAGAGATACGCATGTGAAATCCATCTCTGAACCACTATTCTTTCCTTTATATCCTCTAACAGAGAGGGTTAGGAACAACAGAACTATAGACTTTTTAAGTCATATCATAAAATTGTTTCCTCTCTCGTCAACATATTTTTTCTTTAACTCATAACAAAAAATTTTTTTGTTTATTTCTGCCTCCTACCTTTCAACTAAAAAATGACACTGTGCTTTTGGTCTGTACATGGCTTTCAAATGTCTCTCATAATGGCTACCTAACTGAAAAGGTCACTGAACTGTGAATCAGGATTATTCTTCTCCAACTGTCTGGAGCTGATATTCTTTGATGTTCTCTACTCCTCCAACTTGGCAGAATCTAGTATTTCATAACTCTCCTCAAAAATTCTTTTTAATTTCATTTACCTTTGTCTATTCCTCCTTCAAAGAGAATTAAAATAGTGATGCTGGGCTTCAAACCTGTTTTCTATCATGAATAGCCTTCACCTTTTACTTTCAGACAGTTTAATTTGATGGTACTATTCTTTCTTTCAAAAACCTTTTTCAATGATTTCCCTCTAGTAGAACAACTATTAATTTTTTCAAAATACCATTAAAATGTTACTTCACCTAAAAAGCTTTGGCCCATCCACTTGGAATCATTAATATGTCTCTATTCCCTTATTTTCCTATAGCACTTTTATCATTTTACCATCATACCACTATAAAATGATATATTAATTTACACAAGCCATTCATCTACTCAAAATGAATTTTGAGTCCTTTAAATGTCTTCGATTGTGGAACTATAACTTGAGAACAGTACAGAAGGAGTTGTATAACCAGGGTATGGACTTTAGAATCAAATAAGCATGATCAAATCTTAGTGTCTATGACTTCCTAGAATGTAACCTCAGGGTTGTCTTTCTAAAATGGAGACGAATAGGGAAAATAGATTCTAATGAGAATGTAATCATCTAATATTACACATAAATTTGTGAATTGCTTAACACTACTGTTGGGCACAAGGTATTTGCTGAGTTAGTTTTAGTGGTTTTCATTCTGTTAAATTGACATAACATCTAATTTATCATTGTTTATAAATATTTCATTAATGAATGAAAATAGAACCTAACTCCACTATATTTCTTTTATGACTTAACTATTTGAAGAATACAATACAAGTATTACTTCTAGTCTTAGAATAAATTGTAGGGCATTGAAAATCAAGGCACTGGAAACATTTCCACAAAGTCCAATGCAGAGATAGAGAAAAAGGCACATAAAAGCAAAAGGTATTCTTTAAACACCTCCATAACACATTTTTCATGAGCGAGTCTATCAGGTAAGCTGATTATGATTTCAAATTCCTTTGACTCTTATAATACTTGGTTAGAATGGAAAATGAAAGAATACATTACTGTAGAGAACTTCACCCATGAGGAGGAGTTATTCAGTGACACATGGATATTCTCTGGACAAGAAGGCATCTTTAGATCAGTGGGAGAGGGACAAGATGAGCTTAAAGTTTTGTGCCTCTTTTGTGCCCAGGAAGAGTAAGACAGTGGTAGAAAAAGGAGGACTGGGATCCAGGTCAGGAACTATGGCTCATTTCTGAAATGAACTAACATAAATCCTTGATCATACTTGACCAAGGATCACCCTGGATTTCCTAACTCTGAAATAGCAGTCCACCATTGCTTTTTACAGTCTTCCCTCCCACTGCACTGTCACATTCAAGACGTGACTTTTCACTTAAATTGTTGTCAACCCTTTTGTGGGGTCCCTACTGATGATCTGTGAGATTTTCCTCTACTTCCCAACAGGTACCACCTTCAAAACTAAACTCTCACAGCTCAACCTTTTCCAAAAAAATCTCTGGGAGCTCATTATGAGAAAAGTAGTAGAGTTCGGGTAATGACAAACCTAAATGTGAATACAATCATGCTTTAAAACCATTACTGGTTATAGTGCTGTCACCACTGTGCACCTGTTATCAGATACCGGCCAGAGCTACTGATTAAGATACTGGGAATGAAGAAGGATGTCACCTGTGATCTAGCTCTGAAGCTCATACATACTTCACAAAAATAACCTGCATGGGATCACCCCAGAGGTTATCATTGCACATTGTCAGAGGAAGTATGAATTTACTTTTCATGGACACTCAAAATACCACAAACTGAATTAAAAAATAATGATTTAAACTATTAAGAAGTTAAATCTCTGCAAGTATTTTATTATGATCCCATTTCCTTTGTTACGATATCTTACTGTTACGATATCTTTCCTTACGATATCTTACGATATCTGTACTTATGATATCTTTACTTAGGATATCTTTACTTACGATATCTTATTGTTACGATATCTTTACTTACGATATCTTAGTTACTAAGAACTAATATAGTTCTTAGTGAAATTTTAGGAAATAAAATAGTACATTATTCTATCAGGTTTTGAAATGAAAGTCAGTTAATAATTAAAAATCATCATTCAAATATAATATATAGAGTCCTAAAACAATTTTTTCAATTAAAGCTATTATTTTAGCAAAAGTACTTTTATTATTTGACAGTTTCACCAGTTTTCTTATTCCATCTCTGTTCTATTTCTAGACTGCCCAGCAGTCTGTGTGGGACACACTTACAGGTGAAGGAAGCAAAGGTTAAGTGTGTATGGCACAAATGAGACCCGAGGTTAAGAATACACTGTGAAATGTATGTGGATGTCCATGATTTAAACCAATGAACTGTGGCCTGGAATGATGTCACACGAAGCGCAGCGGTAAGTGGAAGGTTAAACCTACTTGCATCTCGGCTCATTAAACGCAGTTAAAGTGCAAATCCCCTCATTCTGACAGTAGTGATCACAAGGGTTCTCTTTCTGGTCACAGCGCTGATTTTTAAACCCCACAGAGCATCTGCAGAATTTCAGTAAAATAGAGCTAAATAAAGCGTCTGACTTTATTTTGCCAAATATGCTTCAAATTTCTTTTATACAGAGATTGCAACATGAATAAAAATGTTCCCAGGTATGCTCATTTCTATGCAATACACATTCGTCACATGCCACTCTGACAAGGTCTGGAAGAAGGTGCAGACGTGGCCAATATGGGCATCGACTCTCTCATCAAACATGGTTCAAACAAGACTCAACACAGTGACCACACACGCTGAATGGTTTTAAGTCACCTGCTCTGGACACTCAGATAAGTAGAGGGGGAAATATTAAATTCCATATTTTCTTGGGAACATTAGGAATCTCCAGTACTTTCATTACATATTTTAAAACCCAGACTCGGAGTAAGATTCTAACGGAGTCAGAGGCTTGATTGATTTACATAATGCAACACTCGACGTCTGATACAAACATCAAATAGCATTATACATTAGAAAAGAGACCTCAAGTTCTTTGGAAAATAATGGAGAGAAGTACAAGGGATTCATGAAAGATTATTATCTCTGGGCTTTACATATCTGAATAAGGTCAATAAAATGAGAACAATTTTCCCCAGAGTTTCCTGGTTCAAAGAGTTGTGAATGTCTGAAATGGCATGATGCTAAGAACTGAGTGAGCTCTTACTCATGGAGTTATTAGCAAACTGATGAAGAAAAAGATTCTGTAATGAATGAGCCAATGAGGGACGATACTTGATCAGAGATGTCCATGAGACACTCATTTAAAATGTGTTACCCAAGAAAGGAGAGCAATAGAATATGGATTCCATGTGCATACAGTGTCCTAGTGTAAATCACCCACAACATTGTGAAATACTCACAGACACACAGGTACATTTGTCTCAGGGTCCAGCTGGCATGTGCCACCATTGTAACAGTAGCCATCACATAACTGACAACTAGAAGCAATCTTCCCATTAGTACAGCTGTAACAACCAAGAAAAAAAAATTCCAGTGTTACTGGTATTAATATTTCTGAAAGCAGACACATCATGTCTGCAGATGAGAATGTTTACATTTCAGGAAGACAGACTTGCTAAAGGAAAAGATTTTATTTATGTTTTATCAGAACAATGACAGTTACATTTTTTCTTTTGATAATTTTCAAATTTTCAACCCATTTGCTTAGTAAAAAATTTAATACAGGTAGATACATGTGTGAAAATACACTTTAATATCTACTAAATACTTGCACAAGACATTATCATCAGTACTTTGTCATATACAACTAATATTATGCAACTAATATTTGGTGATATCTGTATGCATTATAACTTACAATATCAAGTTCTAAGGATAAAATGTTTCTGGTTTTTCCTCTAAACTGGAGAATTTCACTGAAAATAATGTTAAGAAATTTAGAGTCCCATAATTTGTTTTAAAAAGAGTTACTCTGATTTCTTCTTTCCTACTATTGTTGCATATATATGATAATTAATGTCAGTGTCAAACTTACTACCATTTAGCAGAAAAGAAATGGAGCAATTCACTACAAACATAAATAGTAATGTTCTAGGAGCAACATGATATGGCAGAAAAATAATGAGGCAAACTTGTTAAAAATTTAAGCAACATAATTCTAATTTACAGCCACATTACATGCTGAGATAACAATAAATATGCTATTGTTACACTAGAAAAAATAAGCCTAACAATAATAGGAAAAACATAGAATTTATTTTTCCATGTCACATTTTAAAGCAAAGAATTAGGTTAGGCAATCGTTGGTGGAAGAAAGTACATCAAAGTTCTATATACCTTTGCCAAAATCAGAATTACAACACATCCTGCAAATAACTCTCATCGGATGATCATGCTAGTATTGGGTGCTAGGACAGTGAATGGTATCATAATTAATCTGGACATTTCCTTCAAGAAGAAGGCTGTGATATAGTTCGTTCAGATCTATCTCATGATGGCTATCTACCGCAGCATGTTCGCACATTAATTCTGTGCTATTCATTTCACCTCACTGTAACTCTATTGTTGCAGGAAATGAACAGAACTGCTTATAAGTTTTGTATGTGTTACACTGGAAGCAATTTCTAAGGAGCCTGAGTTTAAAAACCACATTTCTAGTCAAGATGAGCCAGCAAAGTAAGTTACTTTATATCATGAGATATGAGTTAGGGATGTGTGAAAATAGAGCCAGACCAGTGGAATGGAAGGGTGGCCTAACATTACCAAGATTTAGGAGAGAATATTACATCCAATGTAGCCAATATAGGAACCCTAATAGGGATGTAAAGAGGGGCAAGTGCACAGTCAAAGGTATTAATGTCTGATATGCTAAGATCTGAGGGACTTTTCCTCACCCTCCTTACACAACCTCCCTGAATATCTAAAGAGCAAAAGGTTTTCATTCTATCCAAAGAACTAGGTCAAAGGGGAAAATGATCTCTTTATGCATTAAAGAATTTTCTACAAAAAATTTAACTGTATACTTGTGATTTAAAGAGGAAAACACTTTTTTTATTTATAAATGACTTCCAACTGCTATAAAATATTGCTTCTTTTTTCTTATAAAGATTTTATTTGAATCAAAATTAAAGACAGAAGTTTATAGATTTTCAATATGAAACACAGATCATTATATAGCCTCCAAATTACTGTTAATATTTTTTGTAAATTTTCTTGATAATTTCCTTCCTTTAGAGGCTTTCATGGTACACACACACACACACACACACACACACACACACACACACACAGAGTTTGGGATGCACCATTTCCCAAAGTTAATTACCAGTTATCCAGTACAAAAATTTTCATACTGTATGACATCAAAAAGGGTTTGGGGGCCACTCGAGATTGTGATCAAGTCTTTCTTCAATACTTACTTTCACTTTCAGAAAAAAGAAAAATGTGGGATTAGTTTTTTCAAATTGCTGTGTTCATATATAATAGATTAACAGCTCTACTTTACAGTTCACAGGCTGTGCATTAGAAACACAACTTCCTATTCATAAACAAATATGCATATGCTGACTTGAATTTTCTTACTTAAGTGAAAATTATTTACTTCCCCTTTGCTGGAATTCTGTGTTAGTTTGTTCTTTATGTTTGCACCAGAAATACTAACATTACTATAAATTTCATCCTAATGTTGAGATGAAAGTTACCATGGAAATGATAAGAAACTTTAATATCTAAAGTATCTCAGAATATCTAAGGTTTTCTGTCTGTACTGACAACCCCAAATGAGACTGATGTGTTAAGTGAAATCATATTCCTGTTTTTAAGGTTCCACTATTCATAATTACAAAGTGGTATTTGTTTATTCCTATATAAACATTTCTCCAAAGATCTTTTAAACAGATTTAGAAAAATTACTGTTACATCTCAGTAGCCTGTCCAGGTTATGAAAATTGTATGTTTATAGTTTGAAAAAGTTAATTTCTGCTGCTCTTTATTCAACTGGGAGGCTCTAGGTTCTGTCCTTTCTTCCCTATATGAAACTCCTTTATACAATGGAAACTGAGTCTGTGTCTCTGAATGAATTTTCCAAAGCAAACTGAGTAGGAAACCTTGGATCATTGCCAAGATTCCCTGTGAAAGTGCAATATATTGCTGAGATCTTCAGCCTATTCTGATGTGGTACCCTGAATATAAAGAAAAATATATGCCTAAACACTGAAATAAAGTTCTGTAATTTTAAGATTTTATCAAAAAATATTGACTCTAATGAGCTAGCACGATCTAAGTAGTTTATATGAAAGTATACTTTGCTTATATGTACTTATCAAAGACATTTATATATCAGTTATATTTCATTGGCTTTACTTAAAAAATTGTGCTTTGAAATGACCCAAATTGCTAGTTTGAGTAAATGTCATTTATAATGGCAACACAAATCGTATTTACAGTAAATTCTAAACTGAGAGTAAATAAAATAGAAAAAAATGTTGATGCTGCCTCTAATAAAATTTTATTGAGCCCTGTTTTTGCAGAGCAGCCTACATCCTCTGGCACCCTTGCAGGGCCCGCAGTGGACAGCAGGGTGTGGACACTTTATGAAATGCTTTTCTGTGTCAGATTCTCATTTATTATACTTGTAAGCAAGGCAAGTGACAGAATTCAGTCCTTTATAAGTCCTTTTTTTAAAAGGCTGTTAAAGTAGTTCTGAGTGAGGATTGATCTCTAACCTCAGTGGCATAAACTTATTTCATGATAGGAACTAAACAGCATTCTTCTCACCCTTTAGCTATCTTTTGTTTTTCATTCACTTAAATTTAGTGCCAAAGATCAAAAGGCAGTGTAGCAGAAGTCACACTTGGACATTTTTGTTGCAGATGTTTCCCAGAACACATTATTCCTTCTGTTTCTTTTTGAATATAATGTCAAAGTCAAATTAAGGAAAAGCAACTTTTGCAGCTCCCCAAAGGATTATTTATAACAGAAATGCTAATCAACTCACCATCATGATATTCATGAAAAACTTAAAAATCTGAGCTATCTTGTTACTGAACAATATTACACATAGCTTGTTCAATGTATGTTACATTTCAGTGCTTACTTATTCTTAGATACAGTTTTTACAGGAAATAATTATGTTGTTAATAACCTATATTAATAATAGTCTATGACCATATCATAAAATAGTGGATTTTCATGATCCTCAGGTGTTCATAAAAGGTGTTGAAAAAGTTTAAGTAAATTGAACTTACTCTCTATGCTTTAAAAAATGCAATGATTGGCATATAGAATTTTAGAATAAAATAATTTGCATCATTTCAGAGTTTATTACTGAAACACTGCATCCTTTTAGATTGAAATACTTCCATAAACTAATCTAGGTGCCCACTTACTTGCACACTATGTCTTCATTGTCTTTATTTATAATGCAGTGACCCCCATGGCACCTTACACACTTGTCCACTTCACACTTTGGTCCTTCATAGCGTGTTGGACAGACACATTCCACACTTCCATCCTCGCCAATGGTGCAGGACTCGGAATTCACACAATAGTGATGGCATACATCTAGGAAGAAGGCACGGTGAAGCAATCAAAATGTGCTGTGAGATATTTTTCTTCATTCACAATAAATGTGACTATATTATTTGATATTTTAAAATTGTCAACCACACTAAGGTGTGAGATACTGAATGAGTAAATAAGATCCAAAATGTACCACAGCTACTGAGAATAGGGAAGAAACTGCTCAAAAGAAGAAACTGTGATGGGAGAAAGGGGAAAGGAAGAAAGGGAAAAAATACATACACGAGGAGCTGGGGATATAGCTAAGTGGCATAAGTGCCTGCCTGGCAAGTGCAAGGTCGTGAGTTTGATCCCCGGTACCACAAAAAAAAAAGAAAAAAAATTCATACATGAGATAGTTAAGATAATTATACAGCTCATTTCTCTTAGTTCATTGAAAAGAAAGATTTGTGCCAATAGTATTTGGACAATATTTCATGCATATATCTTGTACTCTGAATAACTAGTATGAATATAATAATACACAATGTATTAATTATTGTTATTCTCCTACTAGCCTGTGTTGAAACTCTGTTTTATTGACTTTTTTTTTATTTTTTCCTTCTTTAAAGTAAAAAAAATAATAAAATGGTCAACTAATAAGCAGATTAATTTGCAAAAGGAGCATGCAGTAATAAGCAAACTGGCTTTCTCTGGTAATACTATTGATTCTTCTTTTTGTCCAAATCAGGCATCACGTCATCTGGCTAAGGGGAGAGCGCTTACACTGGCATGTGTGAGACGGCAAACTCTGGGCTCTGAGTTACATATTTTAGCAAAGTTCCTTAGCTTTCAATTATTTAACAAGAGAGGCACGATTAGAAATGCTCATGCCTTCCTTTGATGTCAGATACTGTTGTTCCTCTCAGACTTCTGTCCATCCAGAGAGCAGTGAGTGTGTGGTAACCAGGGACTAGGGTCTCTGCACCATCCTGCCGGCTGTGGAAAGATTCCTCCGTGTCTAAGTGCTAGAACAAACTCATCTGTTTTCTAAGTACTTCAGCAAAGGTGTGCCTCTCATGAAACTCCAAGAAGAAAGCAGACTGGGAACGTGGTTGACCCTTCATGAGTCAGAGGTAGTAAGAAATCTAGGCTATTCCCCTCCTCCGAGGCAAGAGAGAAGTGTCCCCATTACCCAAAAGAAAAAACTTCCTAAATTCTAAGACCTTTGCTTTCACACATGTGTTATACTAAGCATTACAGACAAATGAATTCATCCCACAAACATTTCTACAACTCTTGAACTTGTATAATGCAATGGAGGCCACTTGAAAGTATAAAAGTCTCTAACTTTATAATTAGATATTTTGCCTCAGCATTTCAACAAACAGAAAGACCTATATGTGTTTGTATATAGATACACAATTAATTATCCAATTTAAAATATTGAAATAATAATATAATCTTAAGCAAAATAACTGATTAAATTGATCCTGGAACTTGTGTCTAGGAGCAGCAATTTCCTTTGAGCTATCTAACTGTGAAAGAATGTTAAATGAGATTAGGTAGATAAAAATCACAATTTAGAAACTGTAACCTGCTGCATAACAATTATGGTGGTTGAAGAACCTTAAATACCATTTATAATTTTCATATTTGTATGTTATCTAGTCCCTTATTAAATCAGGGAGTTATTAAATTCATTGACAGGCTTGCTTCATATTTATGGAAATTTATTTCGAGCATTGTTATTCTCTCCTAGTCATGGTATTACATTGTGCTCAGTATCCTTAGATTCAGTGCTTAAGAATATGGGTCCAGACTGTAAGAAAGAAGAGCAGCACTTTCAAGAAGTTAGAGTTGAAGGTCTAAATTGTATCCTTGTGATTTTAAACTTCTCTCTGTATACTGTACATCAATGATGATTGTTTTCCAACCTAAATGATATAAGATACATTAGTATGATTTAGAAACTCTAGTATACTTGCCTAACTAGGCTAAATAGTTGTTTTCTTTATAGATGATGTGTAATAAAATATTCAAGGTCCAGTTTCTATGCTCTAAAGAAAAATTTTATCCTTTATCACTATAGTATTTTTCCTCATACGTCAGCTACTTTAAATACAGCTCATGTCCATGGCATAAACATGGAGTCAAAAGAATATAAAAGATGTGTTCTGTCTCCTGCTGTTAGAGTCAACACCCAAAAAATCCAAAAGCTGTTAAGTTATATATCTCTCTCTATCTTTATCTCTATCTCTATCTCTATCTCTATCTCTATCTCTAACTCTATCTCTATCTCTATCTCTGTCTCTGTCTCTGTCTCTGTCTCTATCTCTATCTCTGTCTCTGTCTCTATCTCTGTCTCTATCTTTATCTCTATCTATCTCTATCTCTATATCTATCTATCTCTAATATCTCTCTATCTATCTATCTGTCTATCTATCATCTATCTATCTATGTGGATTGTTTTCTTGGCCCTTCTTGGGCTTCTAGGGCCTGTTCCTTGATTGCATATTTAAAGGCCTTGTCTCTCCTGTGATGCTCCCTTCCAGTTTCCCCCTTCCTCTTTTCTTTCTCTTCCCCTTTTGTCTTAAACCATTCCTTTTTCTCATTTTCAATTTCAAGATGCCGGAGCTGAGGAGAAAGCAAATGCTAGTAAGGCAATTTAGCACTAGATATTTAAGTGACTACAGAAGCACTGAATAGCTGTAATCTGGAAAACAAAGTATTTACTACCCTCTGTGTTCTCTGCCCCTGCAAGGATTGCTGTGACACAAGCTGTAAGAGTGAGGACCAAGAAATGGAGATGCGGGAAGGAGGGGACAGAGGGGACAGGCAGGAGATGATGAAAGCATTAAGATGTCAAGTACACGTACCAATCCCTACGAGGATGAGATCAGTATGTACTGTAAACATCTGCTAATGAAAAATGAAAATTAAAAATCAATTGAAAAGGAATTTGATGGTACTATTTTCAAAATGAGAGATTCAACCAAAGAACCAGTTTCTCTGTAATTGCCTCAGTGTCTGACCCCAATCCTTTATGTCACAGGAATGTCACGCCAATCTCCTTCTCTTCCCAGTTATCCTCTGCTTTCAGTGAGAAGTGTCTACATAAAGTTGCACTATATATACCATATTTTCATTAGTTACCTCTCTGTAACTCTCAAGTAATTAATAGTATTCATATTTAAATTCCAACTGTCATTTCAGGTATTTAATAAAATGAATATTTCATTAGCACTTTCCAACCCAGCATAAATTTGTTTACTGATTTACCATAATATGAAGAATAATGTATGAGAAGGCTTCATTAGTACATAATTGTTCACTTGGGTTCTGAGGATTCTGGTCCTGACCAAACAAACTCTGAAACTAATACAGAAGCCTAGGGGTCTCTAAATAGTCACTTTCCTCGTTTTTGTGCCCTGAAAAATAGTTATTACTTAGGGGTCACCAATTTAAACATCAAAAATGCTTTAAAACCAGTTAAAGGTTGCACCTTTTCTAAATCAAGCTATATCTTTTTTAATAATTCATTTAACAGTGTATCAATTGTCCATATGAACTTATCTTTGCAAAGATTTTGCCACTCAAAGAAAGTTTTTAAAAGGTGCTTAAACATCTGGAAGACTGGTTAGAAAGAAAATACAGGTGACAGATGATTATGTGTTGGAGGGTTAAATAGAGAAGGAATTGAAGATAGAAGAAAGTGAATGAAGACTGAAATGGAGAGTTTCTGCTAGGTTGGTCATTAAGCAGCCAGTAGGAGGAGTTTGAATTTGTGGAAACTAAAGCAGAGAATTGACAGTTGATCACCTCTTAAACCACATGAGTAATATGACCATGAAGATGAAACAGAAGCAGTGGGTCCACAATTGATTGCTTGTTGAGGACATGCATGTGTGTAATTGTATAATAAGAATTTTAGCAGAAGCCTAGAAATAGGAGACGGGACACAACTCTCAGAAAATACATTTGACAAAAGGTACAATTTTGTTCCCCAAAACAATGAAGTCTTTCTCCCTGTGGAATGTGCTACGTCAAATGTTTTGAGCATTTTACTGACCTGACTAGCATAACAATTGACATGCTCTACATATGATAAGAATGGTAATAATAAATGTAATTAATCTGTGCTGAGAAAGTAAGAATAATGTGATATAATATTGCTTCATATTCACAATATAAAAACTGTTATAACCTCCTTTGGGCAATTACACTAAGAGCTACCTAGCAGCTCCAAACACAATCGTGTAATCAAAAGGACAATGCTGACTATATAATTACAGAATATTTATATGGTAATTAGGTACATGGTAACTGAAGATAAGTGGTGACTATTTTCTGTAATAGAAATGAGATAATCTTGAAAGATCATTGTTGTACTCTCTCTGTCCTTCTCAATCATCCTTTTGCAAAGAACTAGAAATACAAGGAAATACTTCTTTCTTTAATCATTTTACAGTAATGGACTATGTAAAAATATATGCATGTATTGATCTATACACAGGCTTATGAATATTTATGTGGCACTAGATAGTCAAGAATTCTCTAACTGCATTTAAATTCCTTCCCAAATATTCCTTTCTATTGAAGAGTAATTGCCAAGACATTTAGTTATTAATTCATATTTAAAACTGAGCTTTTTACATTGTAATAGTTAGTAAGGTGAGAAATATAAGAAGAAGAAAACCACCTGGTAAAAAGTGGCTGAACATAGTAGGAATAAGGGGATAAATTTGACCTGTAATAGAGATTGTTATTCAGGGGAACCAAACTGTAAAATTACATAAACGTGCACTTACTGTTCTAATCACTGGATTTTGATCCTGTGTTTAAAAATAAGTTCTGTGAATTGGCTTTAAAATTCATATGTTAGGTAAGAACTCAGTACTTAGGAATGCACACGTACATATGTGCACATGAAGTTACAGTAAGTTAAGAGTAGGTTTGGATGACACTCATAGTAATGTAAGTTCAACAGTGCGTAGGCCTGTGCATTCTGTAGCTGAAGTACCATTTTTAGTACAACTCACATTCCACCTCCACTATTGCTT